GAGAAAAAACAAACGAAATTTTAAAAAAGAGAACTGTTCACTTTATTATGGCAAGGTTCCAGTTCACAAATGTGCAGCGATTCAAAATCATTCAATCCGATCCACATAGAGGTGGAACCGAGTATTTTTAAGTCATTTTCACACACATTCATGTCGTACTGGTCAATTTGAAGGCGCACAACAAGTGAGAAACTCTGCAAAGTGGCAAGTTTGAATGATAACTCCTGTCGCGGTGTTCAGAAACCAGGATGTAGAAGTGAAGTGACATCATTCCGACGTACGCTGAAGCGTAGTGCGCAAAACTAAATTCTTAAACAGGTTAGACCGAATTGGGGCTGGAACAACATCCTTATGCCTGAAGAAATAACTAATATATTTTGAAAGTAGGAACTGATACATGGAAAATATTTCAAAAATAAGATTTTAAATTTTCCAGACATTGTTGCAGACGAGCTGCCAATATAGGGGAAAGTACAATAACCAGCTTTCCTACTATCGTCCTTGGCAATTAACTGAGTTAGAATATTTAATTGTCATAAAGCGTTTCATTTTACTAAACACATGGCACGATCGAAACCTTTTAAGTTTAAACATATTACGAATAAATTCTTATTCAGAATGCATATAACGGAAGGTGGTACAAATTTCATAACCACGGTGTATCAAGGTTTGAAGATCATTCAATTTAAAAACGAAGTGAACAAAAGATAAAGAAACTAATAAAAAGGCGGGTAAATGTCAATTGCGGTAGATAGAAGTCTGAAAGCAACAGTCAGATTAAGTAACTTAATAATCGAGTTGTGACAAACTACTGTTCCTTTACATCTCCACATTAAATTTTATCCATGGATGTTTTAGGTTTTCCATTTACCGATGGAAAACGAAGTACGGTTCGAACGGTTATTTCATTGATAAGCATGCCAACTTATACTGCGGCCTGGCACCAAGGTTCCAAAAAAGACTAAATAAATGGTAAATGTGGGTTAATTAATTAGATAGAGCTTGCAGGGAGCATAATATATTTTTTAGTGTGCATACAAAAACTAAAGACCGGAACTAGTCTAATGATTTACTGGCGAAAAGAGCAGCTGAAATTGCGATAAAGTCTAATGAGCCTCAATATGTTGGATCAGATCAAATTAAGTTAATGCTGTTATGGCTAGAAGTAATTATGTAGGGTATCGAAGAAAGTAAAAGTCCATCCACAAAAGTGAGTGGCAAAATTCTGAATTAAATATGATATAGTCCTAAAAACAGATGCAAGGTTATAAAAGAACTTATTCGTAGGTGTGGTTTCCCAGCAGGCATTTGACGTTGAAATAACGTTGATTATTGGTTGATTTCATGTTTAAATGTTGAATATCCAAAATTAAGCGTCCAATCAACGTCGAAATATGGACAACAGCGGAAAAGACGTAAAACAACCTTACTTCAACGTTGAAATAACGTCGATAATGATACGTTGAACGTTGATTTATTTTTAAACGTTGAATCAATGTTTATTTCAGGTTGAAATGCTGAACAACACAAATTAAACGTCATGTCAACTTCGAAACCTGTCTACTATAGGAGAGACATAAAACAACCTTATTTCAATGTTGAAAAATGGTCGGAATCGATACGTTGAATGTTTAGCTATTTACCAGAATGGAACTAATATTATCACACCAACATTAAATGATATACGTATATATAAGTGTAGAATTAATGACTACAGAATGCATGTCATTTTTCAAGGAGTGGAACAATTCTTTAGCTTATTTTATTTCCTGTTGATGCGAGCTGCTGTGGTCAAAATGGCCAGGGCATCGCGCGGTCTGCTGCTATCCCGGTTTTGAATCCTGCTACGGTCGAATGGTTCTTAATTACAGCCTAGAATAAAAAACAGTGAATAGATGTGGCTGCAAGTGGTATGTCTAAATCTAATTAAATGCAACTCATTGTATTAAGATGCTCATGTACTGTAACTGTCACGATAAAATATGTATAATGAAATCCAGTTGCAACGTTGCATTGTAACGTCATGCAGTACGACGTTTCAAGAATAACGTTGCTTCAATTTTCATTCTAAACCCCTTTTCACCCCGATCTCAACGTCGTGAAAGGTAGTTGTTTCATCGTCGATTCAGCAAGCGATTGCCTGCTAGCTTATCTCTAAAAGTCACGAATTGGTTAGAGAGCAGTAAGCATGTACTCTCCGTAAACCAATACAACATTATTCACCACAAGACCAGTCAAAGTAACATAGATCGATAATCAATGGCAGGCATATTTAGTTGACATGCAGATATATACAGACGAAGGGAAGAACAACATTCTTACTGTAATTCGTATCATTAGTAAACATGCATATGGGCGGTTTCTATACGTATAAAGACTGGTGAAGAGATTAAATCTTCTTTCTGGAATTTATATTACTTGTTTGCTTAAATCGCAAATTAACTAAGAATTTAAAAGCAAAGAAAAGTCCACAAAAATTTCTATCTTTATAGAAAACGTTTCGGAGACCAGCTCCATCGTCAGTTCGTAGAATCTAGAATCACAAATCAGAAGTCACAAATTAATACATTGAAATGAAAGCACAGAACGAAATTAAAAACCCAAATTTACAAGTAATAGACGGAGCAAAAAAAAAGAACTATCTATTAATAATTTCAAGGGGATAGGAGCTAGCAGCTGAATTCAAACTGGGCCTAAGTTTAAAGATGTACAGTGATTCTAAAATGCGCAAATCGGAAGTCCCGGAGGTGGAAGCTAAAAATAAAAATCCGGAATAAAAATATTCCGGAAGCTTTTCACTGAACGGATCTCCATTAAAATTCAATCAGACAGAGGATTGGAATTTATAAACAAGCCAACGCAAGGGTTATTCAATAAGTGTGAAATTAAATGGTTTGCCGCTAAAAATAAAACTAAAGCTCAAGCTTTTTAGAGATTTAACCGAACGATCACGACAAAAATGAGGAAATATTTTACTCAGCCAAGACAAAGATGACGGTAGATATTTTACTGGATTTAATTGAAAATTATAACAACTAATATCATAGATCAACAAAAATGGCTCCACGTGAAGCATCATTGAAGCGATGCTTCACGAAGCGTGTCGCACAATTGAGTACAAACTAATCATCGAGCATATAGTGCGACGCGATTTTGTCGCACAATTACCTCGCGCCGCGGAATTTCATCAAAGAAGTCGCGCTATTGACCGACTTATGCATATATATCAATGTAAATTGTCAATATATAAATATATAATGACGCTATGTGCTAAACTGTGCTGGAGCACTCGTTCTACTTATCTGATGTACATATTCACAGCTTAATGCAATCCCCTACTCCTTTATATTACCACAAGATTCTTTATTAAACTTTAATATTTGTACACTGAAAGTTATATTTGTATTAAAGGTGTTGAAAAATCGAAGTTTCTTTTTTATTTTTTATGATCGACCCTCTTCCAACCACTATCAATTAATCGACCACCAAACATTTGTCTTTGACCCTCAAGGGTCGGTATCGAGCACGTCGCCGACCCCTGATCTTAATGATGTCGTGCAATTACTTCCTCGTCAGCTTAATTGGCCCGTGCGGTGGCTGGTATCAACGAGAACAAATTATTTATTTCAAGTCAATACACAAAAACGTCGACATGACATTTCTGACTTGGTTTACTGGTTTGCGAATAATGATGTGCTGCAAGATTGTCTTATTGATTGACTGCTCCATTCAGGATATAAGCCATTCACACATTCCAATACAATGTTCATCGCAGTTCATACCGATATAAGATTGATTGAAGATTGCCAACTAGATCATGTTAGTCATTAATTTGTGTAAACAAATTTTTCCCAATTTGTACATTTCAATGGTTCATCGGCGTTTGAGTCTTTCCGTTTTTTCTACGTTATTCATTTATACTCATCCATTTTGTTTTACAGTCCTGAGTGATTGACTTCACTCCCGTCAATGTTGATCACTCACCAAAAATTATTCATTATTATTTACTTATTATAAGTAGATATTCTGTACTTTCCTCAAGTTCTTTTTTAAATGCCGAAAATCCTTTCATTGCACCCATGTTACTTTCACCCACATAGTTATTGACAATAATATGTATTAATATGGACCTAAGCTTTAACATTGATAATTTGTCTATTATGATCCCGCCTTCCAACGAAATATTTCGCAGAATTTCTTACTACAATATGACTTGTAAATATTAGAAGGTATCGCGTCCAGTACGGGTGCGACATGCACTTTTAGTTTGTAGCCTTACGGCGCGGCGCGGAGCTGTATTCGGGGTCGCAGCCTCCTGACATTCATTACGGTTTTGATGTTCCTAGCTAGGAGTTGAGCTTCCGCTGAATTACTTCTTAGGTTAATTTGCCATAATTGTCATACTGTATTGTTCATATTATAGTAGTTAGTTTATAGTTGAATAGTTCTCCAGCGTGAAGTAAAATCGTTTCCTTTCTTTTGGCAGAGTAAAGTTAGCTTGAATGACCGTTGGCAGTTTAGAATTTAAAGGCTAGGGCACATACAATCCACGTAAGTTATTAGTTATTTGTATCTGTTGCCACGTTATTAAATACCCATGTATATTTGTACTTGGTCTAAATCTTAAGTTTGTATTTTCATTTCTTCTGACGTGCGGAATATTACTCCGCAGTTTCACAAGAAGATTAAGTAAACAACCCAGAATGACTAATATTTTCCTTATCATTGTCTCTGCCTGGCTTGATGAGGTGGCCGTTTGAATTTTAGCCAGGACAGAGGGTAAGGGTAATTATTTGCTATTGCTCATTCCAGTTGGCATTGTGGCAAGATGTTTCATGGCACCAACATCGCAACGCTGGCCCTGCTGGTATCTGTGGCAGCAGACCCTCTGTGGCTCGAAAAATTACCGATTACAGACCCCAGCCAACTGCAGCAGCTGCAGCTGAACGCCAACCAGTGCGCCCAGCTGTGTGCCAGACGCAGCTGTCTGTACATGACGCATGACGGAGGTGAGTGTACGTCAGACGCAGCTGTCTGTACATGACGCATGACGGAAGTATATATAAGTGTACATCAGGTGCAGCGCCATGGCCCGGGCGAAGGCTGCACTGGTAAGGATGTTCGATGGATTTTCGGATGATTTGATTGACATGAAAAGTTCGAAGCACACGGGATCTTTACATATTGTCGGTGATTCCTCAGTGACATACCGACGTTCGAACGAAAACGTATTGTTTGCCTGCTTCGTTTTTGCCAACGAACAGTATAATTGACTCGGAGCAAGCGGCGACTATATAGTCACCCAACCTATCTGTCTTTTTGGTCTCTTCCAAGCTAACTGCTGCCTTTGCAAAAATCGTTCGCATTTCGTCCAGCTAAATGCAGGTGTAAAAATTATCATCAAAAGACTTTGGAAGTGCATTAAACACAGAAGTTGAATGCATTCACAGATAAAACTCTGATTTAATCCATTGCTAACAGAACTATAAACCATCAAGTTGACCGGGCATTCACGTCCTCAGAGACAGGGTGGCAGTTGGTGTCTGGGGGCATCACAGTGGCGACGCCTTCCAGTTTGCTGCTGCAGTGCTGTGCCCCGGTGCCCCTGAGGAACGTGGCGCTCGGCAAACCAAGTCGTTCGTCCAGCGAGTTCAGCTCCGATTTGTATGATATGAGTGTTTTTTTCTGTCCAGCTAAATTTTTCGGCACTTAGAGGGATAAACATGTTTAAATTATGTAATGTATTTAATTATAGTAACTATAATTCAACATCGCACCCACTGGTATCTCTCGATTCGATCACTTCCAAAACCATGTACAGTTGCGAAACGACTACTAAAATTCCAAAACAGCCTCTTAGTTGAAACAGGAACACATGCGGCCAAACGGCGCCATTTACCCGCCAGTCTCGCGTTTCATTGTTTCGCCTTTCTGTTATAAGTAGGTATTTTGCAAATTTTCCTGAAGGTATTCTCATTATGGGCTTATTAATATGAATTAAAAACAAAGAAAATAACTAAAAATTCACCATTTCTTTATTAGAGAAAACGTTTCGGAGTTAATCAGTTCGAAATTCTAGAAAACAAGCGCAATCAATTAGGTAACAAAATTTACCTTGAAGTTATTATAACCTAAATCAACAAATGAAAACAAGAAAACGTGGGCAGGCCTATCTATTAACAATTTTAAGGGGATACGAGTTGAAGGCGGCCTTTAAACAAGGTTTCTGTTAAAAGATATACGAGGATTCTAAAATTCTTTGCTCTGTAAATCTGGTTTTGGAAGATAAAACTTTACAATTACCATCGAATACTTGTGCAGACTTTGCACAGCTTGGCATGGACGCGTACAGCTGATTGAGAGGGATGCGCAAGCAGGTTTCCAGTTCTATACAACTCCAATCTTTATCTTAGCCAGCCTAATTAAAAAATTTTCGTTTCGTCATACCGACGTACGCTGATGCTCACTACTGTATTTATTTACTAGACACGATCGCATGAGAATAGAGAGTATTTTTATACTTGAAGAATGAGCTGGCTTGAAATTATTCACCAACAAAACGTGAATATCAACATTCGAAAGGTATATAGTGAATGAAGCTTTTAATTCCTAAGACATAGTCATAGATGAAGGGCGAAAGAAAGGAAATGAATAATAAACAATGTTACTATATGGTCACAATCGGGAACATTTCAGTATTTTGCTTAGACAAAATTGTCTTGATTTGCGTATCCATCAAGGTCTTTATTTAAATGAATTTCTAATAAGACTCAAACAAATCGAGCTTTCAGGAAGAAAAACTGAAGTTCGAATTTAGAGGGGCCCCTGTATAGGTTACGGGGATAAGAAAATAGTTGAATTTACGACAGTGCTGACCAGTCGATGTGCAGCATGAGATTCGATGACGTCCAATACAAATTTGTTAGTGCGTTGCTAAGCAATGGCAGGTCAGCTAAATGAAGGGTTGGAACTACGCATGAACTAAATACATTTCACGTACATACTGTCTCCGCTTTTATCAAAAAGATTCTACTTAGGCTGGCTGGCGTGTGCCACATGTCATCAAGCCTGCAAGGAATCAAATGAACTTTAACAGAATGTTCGTACAAAATAAATTATTGATAATTAATAACTTCATTAAAATAGTGACAATATTTTTCATTGAGAGTTGATGCATTCAAATGTCTACCTTCCCTTTCTCCGTGCAACTGTATTATGTTCTAGGTATCACATCCGCGTTTTTATATTCTAGGCTCAAATCTAGGGCTCTTACCATGTGGTTAAGGACATGCAAGGCAACCATGGCAGATTATAATAGATTAGGTTTGAACTATAATCATCACGTGGCACCAAAACCATGTGCGCACTATCAGGTGTCTGCCAATTTTGTCCTGTCCTTATTGTACATTAGGCATACATATGTAATGCACTGGCGGCGGTAAATTCGGAGCCAAACAACAAAGCAAATTATACTCGGATATGAAAGAGAGTTGTAGTGACAAGCTCAGTTTAGCACCTTGCCAACTGAGAGGAATGATATAGTTGCTTGTATTTATATGTTGCTAATTTGTATTTCTTCATCTGAAGTTACGTTTGATACAGTTATATCGTAGGGTTTAATGATCAGTTATAATGGTAATTAAGTTAATTGATTAAAATTTAATACCCATAGAGATTTTTACAGTGGACGTTATTGCTTTGTCAATTGAGTGCCTTACGCCTGTCGGAGAAGCACTGGTAGCTGCTTCGTCTGTCAGTCGGTGCCTAAATAAAGGTGTGAAAACTGATCATGTCTAGCATGTGTATGCAACCATCTCGTAAGTTTTCATTCAAAGAATAGTCTTTATAGCGCATTTTCTCATTTATGGAAAAAATGCACTATTGTGCTCGCCATGTCCGTCCGTCTGTCTGTGTGTCCGTCCGTGACTTCGTGTTTTCGTCGACGAGAAAATGCGCTCTCTGTCATTCACTGCAATGAGTCCTGAGTTATATTTTTAGATATGATAGTACAAAGGTCCAAGAATATTACTGCAGACACAATTATATTTAGGTGGGCATTAATCGAAAAAAATGTTTTTAGTTGCTTTCGCATTAACCCATATGTTTCTTAATAAAATGAATAAGCCCTATAGGGGCTGAAGAGATAAATCAGAACAATTAATTTTTCCTACAGCCTTCCTCAACGAGCAAACGACGGTGTGTTTACTCAGCCATCCAACATATTCCACTCACTGGCCAATGATACACTGCCTTTCCTGGTCATTGATTTGGGCCTCGAATATGTCATCGAGGCGGTGGCCCTCATGCCGAGGCTGGTCACTTATGGAACAAGATTCGAGGACATCGAAGTAAGATGTGCTTAGGGAGAAAGGAAAAAGTAATACAAGAAGACATTAGATTTAAAAAAGATATAAGATGTACAGCATCGGATAGTGTTTGTTGAGATACCTTAATGGTACTTTTCGCAGCAATGTAGAATAATAAAGTAATAAATATAGATTAGTACTGTCTATAAAGAATATGGCTCGTTCGTACAGGTTGTTTAAATAGGAACCTCACGCATTTTAAGCAACAGTTTATGAAAACGTTCAAATAAACATTAAGTTGCAAATGGAATATAATTTGATGTTATAGACAAGATTGAACATAATCAAAGAGTACACAAAAATAATTACATGATATCGTACCAAATTTCTTGGGACAAGTTTTTATAACTAAATGAATCTGACCCACATTTCCTGGGATATCAAAAAATCACTCTACATTAGTTAGTACTCGTAGCATCAACATTAATAGTGGCTCTAATACGAGCCCTTCCTGTAGAGGGTCTAGAATCTAGATCGTATATACACGAGAAAAGACTCCTTTTATTGGAAATCTCACTGGGACAGTACTACGTTGAATGTGCGGCCCATGTAAATTTTGCGAAACATTAATTAAATAAAGGGCAGCGCTTACGTCGAAAATCGAAAAAATGTATCTTTATTTATTACTGAGCTCATTTTGTAGTGCGGAAAAGGCGCGTCGAACGCAGCAACCGTATGTATGTGCGTGCTCTTGTTTTTGCGTAAGACAGTTTCAAATTTGCATAAAATGAACATTTTTTACAATATTCACAGAGATTTATTATTCATATAATAATATTAAGTAACGCGAATCCAGCTCAAGTAACGCGAATAAATATCAATGAATGATATTTTCAGCTTAAATAACGCAAATAAATATTTATTATTTAGAAAAATATTATCATTCATTTTCATCCGTGTCACTCAAGCTGAAAATATTATTCATTTAATAATTTTATTCGCGTTACTTAAGCTGGTTTTGAGCTCATTTTGTAGCAGCGAAAAAGGCGCGTCGAACGCAGGGAACAGTATGTATGCGAGTGCTCTAGTTTTTACGTGAAGCAATTTTAAATTAAAGCAAAATGAACATTTTATACCATTTCTTAACACATATTTCTTGATGAGAACTGGTATTTATAGGACATTGTTCGCATTAAACTGGATAACAGTCGGTCATGCAACGCACGATGGTATCCTCAATTCGAGAAATAGGCGATGGAAAGCTAGGAATAGATTTTCAAGCAATTGTTTAGCTTACTTCATTTTAGCTTTACTTCATTTTCAATCCAATGAACTTATTTGACTCTCCTGAGCAATTGAAATGGCAATTTTTTCATCATTTAAAATCTATTTTCTTTCTTCATTTCCAAGCTACAAAATTGAGAGACCTATCAATCGATTTGTAATGAGAATATCTAGCGGCTCCAGTAGCCTTTTTGTCCAATTTATCTGTTGTTTGAATTATATATAATTATAGTGTGCGTTCAAAAATTACTTTTTAAAGACCACACTTCTAAAGAGGCCGGTGTTTTACACTTCTAAAGAGACCACACTTCTTTTCGGTACACATATACAATGAATATCTCATTTATTTTATATCTCTGTCAATTGATACATGCATTGTCTCCAACTTTCTGCAAGTGTGCGAAATTTCAGATCGATTGGACAGGTATAAAAGTGTTCAATATCTATCGTAAGATTTGTAGCAGACGGACAAATAAACAACAAGAAGTGAAGTTAAAGAGAAGTGTGGTAAAAACTAGGGGAGAGGGGTTGGGAGGGGTAGAAAATGAAAAAGTTTTCTAAGAAAAACTTAGAAAGATGGCCTCTAGATCGAGAGTCCCTAGTATTTTTACAACACTTCTCTTTAACTTCACTTCTTGTCTGTTTGTTTGTTTGTTTGTCTGTCTGTCTGCTACAAATCTTGTAATCGAAATTTAATACACTTCTACTTATCCCATCGATCTGAAATTTTGCACACTTGTGTAAAGTTGGAGACATTGCATGAATCAAATGACAAAATAAATGATTTAAAAAAAATTTTCAATATTAAAAATTGGAATAATAATTTTGTCAGCTACAAATCTTATAACTGATATTTGACACACTTTTACCTGTCTAATTGATTTGAAATTTTGCACACTTATGTGAAATCCGAGGCAATGCATGAATCAATTAACAGAATAAATAATTTTGAAAAAAAATTTATAGATTAAAAAAATTTATATATATAAAAAATTGAAAAGTAAATTTTTTTAATTTTCGAAAATTAGATGAGAAATTCATTGTACATCTGTAAGATTGGAGATACTGGGTTCTTTGGAAGTGTTGTCTTTTAAAAGTAATTTTTAAACGTATATCATTATATCTAGAATCGCTATATATTTGAATCACAATTTGAGCGGTTTATTCTGTCGATGTTGAAGCTGGTAAATAAAAAAAGTTGATATATAAATAAAAATCCCAGTTTTCTATTTATTTAAATATTCTTCCATTTCCTCGAAAAATTCATACGAGCAAAAAAGTCTTGTATATTAGTATTTAACATACGTGTATGAAGTTTCTGGAAGATCAGTCGGTGAAAACAGAATTTTTTTCAGTTGTAGACGTTACTCTTATGTTATTGTTTTTACGCAACGATATAATCAAAAGATTATAGCTGAAAAAATACGGTTAAGTCTGCATTTAACGTATATATTTCAGACACAAACCTTCGAATCAATCATTATATCTTAAATGCCAACTATTTTCGGCACAGATCCGCACTGGACTGACCTACGTGCTGGGTCCTGACTTCAGTACATACACGCTCCTGGCGCTTTTCCCTGGACCATCCCCCAACCCCGTAACTTGGGTGACCACAAACCTCACGGTGCCCGTGCTGGGTCGCTACATCACCGTCCGGAGGATGGCAGCTCCGGGCGAACCCCTTGAAGTCAGCGAGCTCATGGTCTACAGTCGCACGTAGTCGACCTTCTCCGTCCAGCGGGGCTTCGTTTGTGTGACCGTGCTCACTGAACCTACATGCTCACTGAACCTTCATGCTCACTGAACCTACATGCTTACTGAACCTACATGCTCACTGAACCTACATGCTCACTGATCCTACATGCTCACTGAACCTACATGCTCACTGAACCTACATGCTCACTCAACCTACATGCTCACTCAACCTACATGCTCACTGAACCTACATGTTCACTGAACCTACATGCTCACTGAAAACCTATAACATTAAGTGAAAACTGTTGCTTGTTTTGAAATATATAAATGTTTCAAGGCTTATCTAAGGGATCGTGCCGAAACAAAATTACCGTAGCCGGCTTAGATGTATCAATGACATATGAAAATTTTAGATTTTGAGAACCTGGTGTTTCAAAAAGCATAACTTGAAAGAATCTACGCAAAAATCCGTCCAATTTTTAGAAAAGAATCACTCGGTTGTAACGTATGTGCCTTGTATGTATCATTCCTTGCCCAGTTTCCAGCTCCGGACAAAATCATTCTCCTCTTATCGCCGAGATCACCAATGAATATCTGAGCGTGTAGTAGAAAATCAATTTTAAATCAGATGCTCGGGTTATAAATAAAATATAACTGAAAATTCTCGGTTATATTTTAGTCAACATCACGCACGGACAGTAGAATAAACCCGAGACATACCTTATTTCCTTCAGTTAATATGAAAAAACCTGAACGAATGTTAAAAATGCCAAATGCTGCCAATTGTTGTCAATTATTGTCAATTTTTCTCAGGGAACTATTGTCAATTGCTGCCAATTGTAGTCAATTAACTGCAATTTTTGTCAATTGACACTAACCTCAAATTTTCACAAATGTTGTCAGTTGTTGTCAGTTGTTGTCAGTTGTTTTCAATTGTTGTCAAATGTTGTCAATTGTTGTTAAATATTGTCAATTGCTGCCAATTCTTGTCAAATGTTGTCAATTGTTGACAATTGTTGTCAAATGTTGTCAACTGTCGTCAATTGTTGTCAATTGTTGTCAACTGCTGTCAATTGTTGTCAATTGGTATTAATTGTTATCAATTGTTTCCAAATGTTGTCAATTGTTGTCAAATGTTGTCAAATGCTGTCAAATGCTGTCAATTGTTGCAAATGTTTTTAATTGTTGTAAAATATTGTCAATTGCTGTCAATTGTTGTTAAATGTTGTCAATTGTTGTCAATTGTTGTCAATTGTTGTCAAATGTTATTAATTGTTGTCAATTGTTGCCAATTGTTGTTGTTGTTTATCGATGATGTTGTTGTCAATCCTGATTATCGATCCGAACCATGGACTCGTGATTCATTCGTTTCAGTTTCGTACAGAAGTGAAAGTGGCCAGTACAAAGAGAATGACACGTGCTCAAAAGATCTATTGATGGAATAGAAAGCTGGCAAGAATTTTCATAGTCAAATTTAAACAGAAAGCTTTAAATTTTTCGACTTTTTCCATTTTCGAAAAGCAAGTGAAAGTAGCCAGTACAAAGGAACGGCCAGGTGTTCAAAAGTCGCCAGTACAAAGGAGCGGCCAGGTGTTCAAAAGTCGCCAGTACAAAGAGACGGACACGAGTTCAAAAGATCTATTGATGGAATAGAAAGCTAGCAATAACTTCAACACGAAAAATGCTTTCATACCGATACAGAATATGAATGTGACCTGAAGTTAGACGCTGAGCTGTGTGGTTAAAAGTGAGTAATGAATACATGACTCATACGTGAAGTTTTTTTGTTAATTTTACCTAAATTAAAATTTTTACCTTTAAATTTAAATATAGGAGGTTTATTCATTTTAATTCTAGGAGGTTGATTTAATTTAATTCTAAAATGTTAATTTAATTTATTTCTAAAAGGTTAATTAAATTTATTTCTTGGAGGTTGATTAATTTTATTTCTAAAAAGTTAATTCAATTTAGTCCAAGGAGGTTAATCTAATATTAATCATAAAGTTTAATTATTTCAAATTTTAGGAGGTTGATTTAATTTCATTCTAGTAGGTTGATTTATTTTCATTCCGGGAGGTTAATTCAATTTAATTCTAGAAGATTAAATAAACTTAGCTCGAGGAGGTTAATTTAACTTAATTCAAGGAGGTTATTTTAATTCGATTTTAGGAGATTAATTTAATTTATTTCTACGAGGTTAATTTAGTTTACTATTGTGAAGTTAATTCAATATAATATTAGGAAGATTGTATATTTTTTGAAGAACGTTAATTTAATTTAATTCTAGGAGGTTAATTTAATTTGACTCTAAAATGTTAATTTAATTTAGCTGTATAAGTTTAATTTGATTAAATGTTAGGAGGTTGATTTAATTTGATTCATTATGTTAATTTTATTTAATTCTAGGAGATTCATTTAATTTTCTTTTATGAGGCTAATTTAATTTAGCCCTCGAGGGATAATCTAAATATTCACCTAATAAAATGAGCTTAATTTAATTTAATTCTAGGAGGTAATTTAAATTTAGCTCTAAGGCGTTAATTTAATTTGATGTTAGGATTTAATTTAATTCTGTGATATTAATTCGAGGTCCCATTTAATGAGGCATCCTGCTTCTTATCTCCTACTTCTGCATCAGAAATAAAAAGTTTGCTGCGACTATGTAAAGGCAAGAAGCTTCATATCGATGAAATTCAGCAAAGAATATTATTTGAAGTTGCTGATATTGTAGCACCTGTTTTAGCCTATATTTTTAATTTGTGTATGTCTACTGGAATCAACCCTGATGTCCTAAGACGTGCCTGTGACATACCAGTTTTCAAATCCGGCAACTCTAATAACGTGTGCAACTATCGCCCCATATCTACTCTACCTTTTCTTAATAAGATTTTCGAAAAAATTCTACACTGCCGACTTACAAATTTTCTTGACAAATTTTCGCTAATATCTGATGATCAATTTGGTTTCCGTAAGGAGCCGTTTTCTATGTCTCGAGGAGCTCCTACGATGAAGCGTGTGATCATATTTCGGAGCTAGCAGTGAATTTGTCAGGGTGGCTCAAGAAAAATAGGCTTGTGGCTCACACTGATAAGACTAAGTTGATGCTTTTTACTCACAGACCCGTTTCCTTTCCACGCAAAATCACTTTTAATGGGACAGTTTTAGAATGGGTCGATGATTTTAGATATCTTGGTTTAATAATCGACAATAAGTTTTCCTACAATAAACACATTACCTACGTCTGTCAGGGGCTGAGTAGAGCCCACGGTATTTTGCGTGCTCTATCAAGTGTTTTACCTCTTCCATCACTAAGAACGCTTTTCTACTCAATTTCCGTATCTAAACTGTCGAACACGTTGGTCATATGGGGTGGGGTATCTTCTAATTCTAAAAAACGGGTCATCACATTAATAAATAAATCGTTGCGTACTATATTTCGGGTTAGGTATGATGAAAACAATATCCCTTTGACTCGTACTACTGTATTATATAGGCAGTCGAAAATTTTAAAACTTGACGATATGTACAAATTTCAGCTTTTATAATTCATGAATAGGGCACTCATCCACGATGAACGTCTTTTCAATTCTGCATTCGCCTCTCTTGTTCCCCTACATTCCCATGACACCAGGGGCATGCGTTTTAACTTGCCCCCGGTTCGTTTGGAAATTGAAAGAAACGGTACAGTTTTTAATTGTGTGAAATATTTTAATGAATTGCCTGATGATTTTAAAATCAATTGTTCTAAATTCAGTTTGAAGACTAAATTCCGCGATTTTATTCTTACTCGTTATTAATTTGACTCTGATTAGTTTCGTAAGATTTTTGGTAATTGCCTTTTCTCAATAATATTTTTGAAAAATAATATGGTGTAAGACAACATTGTTTCGACTTTTCGTCTTAGTTGTATTTAATTTTTTTTAGGTAGGGTTGTTATTGCCTTTGTTGAATATCATTTTTAGTCGCCATGCTAGTTATTCTTATTTCAGTTTTACTAAAGGTTAGTTTTTATCAGGATGTTTTCAATTTAGTCACTTTCTGTTCTCTTTTGTCTTATCCCATCATCATTATATGTTATTGTTTTTCGATTGTAATATTGCTGATGTCGCCTGTGAAGCTTTTTAGCTCATATGGGCATTCACATGGAAGCATTTTGTATTTTTTTTCTCCAAATTTTTGTCATTTTCTTGTTATGAAATTTTTTTGTATGCTCCTGTGTGAATAAAGAATAAAGAATTTATTTTTTTAGCTCTAGGAGGATAATTTCATTTGATTTAATTTAATTCATGGAAGGTTTTTAAATTTATTTCTATCAGGTTGATTTAATTTCATTGTAGGAGGTTAATTTAATTTAATTACGTGAAGCTAATTTATTTTCTTTCTAGAAAGATTATTTAATTTAGCTCGAGGTGGTTAATTTAAGTTAATTTTAGGTGGTTATTTTAATTTGATTTCAGGAGGATAATAACATTTATTTCAGGAAGTTAGTTTAATTTAATATTAGGAGGCTAAGTTATTTTATTCTAGGAGGTTAATTTAATTCATTTCTAGCGAGGTTAAAATAATTTATTTCTTGGAGGTTAATTTAATGTAATTCTAGGAGCTTGTTTCAATTTTAGGATGTTAATTTAATTTGATTCTAGGACGTTAATTTAGCTAAATTCTAGATGGGTAATTTAACTTAATTATAGGAGATGAGTTTAATTTATTTCTAATAGGTTAATTTTATTTTCGGTTGGTTAAAGTGATTTGCTTTTAGGAGGCTAATATTTTAGAGGATTTTAAAGAATTTTAAATATTTTAAAGGATTAGCCTCCTAAAATCTAAAAATCTAAAATCTTCAATTTAGCTCTAGGAGGTTGATTTAATTACATTCTAGGAGATTAATTTAATCTAATTTGATGAGGGTTAGTTCGAGGGGAGCAATTCGGTAAATTTAATTTAGACTTTTCCGGTTTTTAGGCTCATTCAAAGGTCCAATAATTGCCTATTTAAAGAGCCCAAAGCCATGTTTGTACGTTCAGT